CGTTGTTGCCATAAAGCTTGGTCCAGACCCAACGATTCCCAAGGCCTACCTTGCGGTAGCCCTGGATGCCATCCTCCTATCCTATAGGGAGACCTGTTCCTAGGGCGGTTTTGCGGGGGACCTTGACCCCTGCCTCCCACTTGGCGGTTTCCTCCTCTGCCGCCAACCCCCTGATCGCCTTGGAACCGGCTCCCTGAGGCCCGGCCCCCTTGGCCCTGGCCTCTTCCTTGCGGCCTCCCTCCAGCCGCGACAGCAGCATAAGATCTCCCCTGGCCCATACCGCTGTCCTCCTCTAACCCCCACTCAATCTGGTCTTAGGGGATTTCGTCCACACTACCTTCGTCTAAAGTTAGGACGAGGCTATCCTTAGTCTTTACTTGCCCCGAGATAGTGCGGCCCTTCCATGGCTTCCCTCTATCCAGATCTCTGTGCCAGAAGGTAGACACAGACGCAGACTTGGCTTCAAAAGCCACTACTTCACGACTCAGGGAATCATATGTCGTGGTAGGGTCTTCGCTCTTCGCGAAGAAGTGCCCTCGCAAAGTTTCGGGCATAGCTCGATAGAAGAGGTTAACTAATTGGGTCTCTGTGACTTTGTGATCAGGGACGGCCACTAACTCGTCCATTGTACCCTTGAGCGCCCTGGCACTTTTCCATTTGCGAGTATGGATGGTTTGCAGTTTATCTGAAGCTTTTACACTGCGAGCGACGTCAGCAAATCGCTCGCGCAGTAATCTCAGAAATTCGGTGAGAGAAGTGAATGAGGAGTACGCGACAGGATCGTCGCTGCAGTTGGCAGCGCGATCTAAGGACCTTGCGAAACTAGCAGCTTCATCTTTCAGCGCATGGATCGCAATTAAGACTTGTTGATCCAAGGAGACCTGTTGCAAATGCACGTAGGTCTTCACGTTGGCTTCCCAGTTATCAAAGTTCTCTTCCCTCTTCCCAGCATAGGAATCCGGGAACTTAACTTTGATTGGTTCTCTACGTGGTGGGCGCGGCTCCTCTTCCTAAGGAGCTGTCGCTTTGACGCCCTCCATGGCGCCAGCGCAGAATCGTTCAGTCTTATCAAGGCGATGTCCCACCTCGACTCCAACGGCTCCTACCAGTTCCCGCGCAAAGTCCCGTAAACCCAATCGTATCGAGCGCACAGCTATATCTTGACTCCTGCTGAAGTCATACTGATCTGCCTGGACTCGTGCCAGGCATGCGATGCTTCGAGCCACGACTCGCATCTGATTCGGGAAATCGGGTTGGGCGGCTAATTGTTGTTCTATCGTTTTCACTTCCTCTAGTGCTTCCGCCGCCTCTGCAGTCAGATTAGCCACCCATTCGGATATCCTTTTTTCCAGCTCCCCACCAGGACTGCCGCTATGCTGTCCACTACTCTTCTGCACTGGCGGGTCTTCCTCTTCCTCTTCTACCTTTTTCAACTTCTCTTCCTCTTCTTTTWTTAGCCTSTCCTTCTCCCTGGCCATCTCCTCTTCGATCTTCTTCAGTTTGGCMGCCTGCTCCTCCTTCAAGGCCTTCTTTTTGGCGTCCTTCTTCTCCTTCCTCTCTTGCAGTAGGGCGGCCATCTTCTCCTCCTCCTCCTTCGTGTATGGCGTGGTGGACGTACCACCACGAGTGGGCCCTACTCTACACGCAACAGTGGGCCAGAAGCCCAGAGGAAAAAGGAGACGCCATAGGGTTCCCCACAGGGAGAACCCCACAAGTAGCCCATACATGGGATAGTCATCCATCGTGATGTTAGGTGCACAACCAAAGTCCCACTCACCACTTAGACCTACCCTGACTCACCCCACGGACTGACGTGGACTCCAATAACTAACACGAAACTTCCCTCTCACGGGATTAGGGTCCCACTGGGTACCTATGCCCCCACGTAGGCCGGCAACCCTAACCACTTCCTCACAAGGGGGAGGAGTCTTTCCTCCAGGAGAGATAGTCTCTGACTTTACACTAACACTACTACGGTCTCTARCCTAGACCTAGGGCTGTCACTACAGACTGTGCTGACCAGGAGGCATTTAAGGAGATCCCCCAAACTCYGCAAGAATTCTTTAACGTCGCAGACAGGACGACGTGGTCAGCACAACCGTCCTGGCTATTTCAGCCCACAACTAGCCGTTCCGGCCTACCTGTGCCACACCGAGCAGCCCGCCGGTCTGTACCGGTCCTTGGGAGGGTTCGTGTCCCCCGGGACAGTCGAGTCGTCAGACACAGATCATCAGCCTTACTAGGTCATAGAGGGGGAGTGGGTCAACCAGGGCCTCAACACTTAACGACGGCCTTCGTTTCAGCCCACAGCTCAGAGTTCAGACCCACTAAACTGATATTGAGAAACCTGCCGGTCAGTACCGGTCATTGGGCTAGACGAGTTGTTTAATGAGCGCTCGCCGCTCCTGCCCAGGTCCTCAAGTCTCAGAGTAGGAGTCCTACTAAGCTCGTGTGGGTTTGGCAGCAAGGCCCTATCCTTCATCCACAGATTCTATCACCTAGGACAGAAGAGACTCAATGCAGAAAGGAGAGACAGACAGACTCCTGACCTCAGCAAGTACCAAAGGGTAAGTGTACATTCACGGGGTAGGGAAAAGGCTGAAGGCTTGGCAAGATCTCACCAACTCCAGCTTGGTCAAATCTTGGTCAACGGCGGCTTGGTCAACGCT